AGATAGATAGATAGATAGATAGATAGATAGATAGATAGATAGATAGAGAATATAAAATATTCTTCACAGCAGTTATAAGTTCAGCTTCTCTCTCTAAAGTTACATCATTTACCGTTCTTTCTATAATCTAGACGCAAGTTCATTTTTTATTATTTTTATGCAAAAAGAAACATTATTGTCACCAAAGGGTTGGCAACCTTTTCTTGAAAAGAACTAAATTTGTTCTTGTGACTTATGGGCTATGTAAATTATGATTACTATTGTCATTAATAGGACGTCAGGTTTGGGTATGGACTCTGCAACAACACAATTTATTTATATTTTCTTTCTTTCTTTATTTAATTTTTATGTTGCCCATGGGTGACACCAATCCTTGGTGAACTCCTTGGTTTTTAAATTGTGTAACTTATTTCTCTCTTTGGCTTATACAGGTAGTCCTTATAAAAGTTCATTCAGTGACAGAAGTTACAATGGCACTGAAACAAGTGACTTATGACCATTTTTCACACAACCATTGTGACATCCAAACAGTCACATGGTCAAAATTCAGCCGCTTGGCAACTCGTCCATATTTAAGACGGTTGCCATGTCCCGGGGTCATGTGATCCCCTTTTGTGACCTTCTGACAAGCAAAATCAATGGGGAAGCCAAATTCACTTAAGAACTGTTTTACTCACTTAACAAATGCAGTGATTCATTTAACAAATGCCTCACTTAGCAACAGAAATGTTCAGCTCGATTGAGTAATCGTCCTTGTGTAAGTAGAGGACAATCTGTAGTATATTATTAGCTATGAAGTTGTTAGCTTGAGCTGAATGAGCAGAAGAAACAGAAAATCCCTGTAAATAAACATAGTACTTGTGGTTGTGGTTGTAGTTATAGTTATATATTTATTAAGCATCAGCAGAGCCAGAAGTTACACTTGGCACTACACATATGGGCTAATAACTCATTAATATAACTGTCACTCACTATTGGTATTTTTCCTCACCTTTAATTTCATAAGCAAATCAATTTTCAATTTGAATAACTTAAAACAACTCAGAGCGCGAATAACGTAACAATCAAACAAACCCATGGATTTGCATCATGCTCTCGAGGCAGAAAAGAAGCCAGCCAGGTAAGTTGACCGACAGGTAGGCAAGTACACAAACAGACAGACAAAAAGATTTGAGGGGAGAGAGAGGGAGGGAGGAAGAGGGAGAGAGAAAGTGCTTTAATACACCCACTAGGGAAAGAAGCAGAAGGTAGAAGAACATGACAAACTACGTAGGAAAGACACTCATTCACTATTCAGTGGAGAATTTGTGCCATGAAGGAGGGAATCAGAATGAATATTGCTGGATTTTAAGGCTGGAGAGAATTTTAATGGAAAGGCATTACAAAAGATCCAAAGACAAGATATAGCTGTAACTTTTTTTCTGTAGCCACAGTTTGGAAGATGGGCAGTTTTATGACATGCACACCTCCTCCTTCTTGTAACATTACTGCAAAATGCAGCAGCCATTGTATTGAGTATGTGTTCTTGGTCTTTCAAAAGACAAATTGGCAGCAAAACTGTATTAGTCACTTTATGTCACAGTTTGGGAGGTGGCTTTCAGGTTAATTCAAAAGAATCTTAAAGGCTGGTTGTCCTCCCTTGCTTAGGTAATACATCAGGCATCAAAATGCCACTTAAAGTGACTGGATATAGGGATCCTTCAAATAGGATAAAAATCTAATGCAACGTTACCTTTAATTGGTCAAGTGCAAAAGGAGATCCATCTTTCTTCAAGTTTTGGACAATTTCTTCCATGCTGTTCGCTGAAAAAAGACTGAAAAAAGAAAATGTTCTTCAGGGAAAATGAGTCATATTTGAGAGGGAGGAATATGCTGCAACCTATGATGAGCAATAGGTACTTTAGCATGCAAAAAAGCCATATAGTAAATGTAATATATATAAACTGCAAAGATATTGTACTTTAAATTAAGATTAAAATAATCTGAGTAGGAAAACTATGAATTCTCCCCCTAGCCATTATTGGTAGAACTTCAGTTAAAAATATAAAATTTGAAACGTTTTAAAATGAATATGGAACCAGATATCTTGTGGGTTTTGTGATTTTTGTGTGTGATTGTTTGTGCTGATATACTTGTTATAAAGAGGTCCTGCAACTTACAGTGGAACTGAGAAGGCAATGTATCTGATTTACTTTTCGAGCTCCTTGCCAGAGTTAACAGAACCAGTCATATCAAGATGCTTTTGAGGAGGGGGTGTTTAAGGTGTAAATGCAGTGCCTTACATTTTGTAGAAGCTGAAAATACAGCTGAATCCCTTGACTTCCAATCTCTGAAGACATCTTGCCTCACTCTCCCTACAGCCTCCTTACAAACTTCCCCAAAAGATAAATCTCAGCCTGCTATATCAGATTGAAAAGTGTTGTCCACCCAAATTTTCAACATTTTGCATTGAATGTGTTGTTTATTCCCTTAAATATTTAGTCATTCTCATATCAGATTTTTTTGGGTTCTAACTTCTTTTTTAAAAAGTCCTACAGGCACTCAAGCATAGTCATTACTTAAGAAGCAGATGTTACTGCAGGGATTAATCACTTCCTTCTGTTTGTTGAAAACAAAAAGAAAGTTGGAAGTCCACGATATGCCAGCATACTGCTCATTAGTGTTACTCAATAGACCCGTATATTTAAGCAGTTTGAACAATATATTTTCTGCAAATTACATTTGATTCATTGCATTTTAGTGAAAAATAGGTAATCAATGAATAGATGACTTTATTACAGGTCATAGACCCACCAATTATACAAAAATGATAACATTAAAGGGCTACTAATAACGGCAATTTCCCCATCTTTAAATATGAGGAATGCCATAAGTGGAGAGGAATGCCATTCTACATTTGTTCAGGAAGGACAACAAGAAATAAATGACAACTTGGCATTGGGTAGGCCACAATCATGTATGAAGTACTGATGAGTATCATCTTTATGTTATATACAGATAGTCAGATGAATCAAAGTATCTTCACTACTCACAGTTCTCTTCTCACAGCGCATAGCTAGCACTGGAGTCTAGTTGGGAAAACTTTGAAGACAGTTTACAGAAGCAGGCAGGGAAAAATTTAAGACTCATTCTTTCCATCTGTTTCTGGGGCAAGATGTGTTATTCTCATTCATGGCCATAGTAGGCAATTCAGCTCTCTATATAGCCACAACTATTTTTGTGCAACTTAGTCAAGTGATGATGATGATGATTTAAATTTATATGCTGCCTGATTCCCAGAGACTCTGGGCAGTTTTCAAAAGGCTAAAAATATTTAAAAACAAGGAAACTACACAAAACAAAAGGAACAAAGATAGCAGAAGAAAGAATACAAACCCAGATGGGATGTTTTCACAATATCTATTAGATATTCTAACAACAAAAGACTAGTTCTGCTTTTGTACTACTGATCGCACTAAGTGACACGTACCTGTTAATTTTGTCCATGTGTTCACCAAGGATAAATTCTTTTTCTTGATCAAGTTTGCACTAAGATAAAAAAAGATAACAAAACTTAGTGCCAAATCATTTAAAATGGTTACAAAAAACAAAAGCCTATGCTCTTTCTCTTAATGAAAGAAAAACTGACCATTATGGCAATAGCCCATCTTTATCTTTGTTATCGTGATTAGAAATGAATAAGGATTTTTTTCCCCAAAAAATTGTTGGGAGCAATAGGCTGACTCTGTAAACCGCTTAGAGAGGGCTGTAAAGCACTATGAAGCAGTATATAAGTCTAAGTGCTATTGTTATTCCTTATTATTCTTATTCTCTGATCTGCAAGAGGCATTCTTGTGCAATTCCACTGATAAACTAACGATCATATTTGTGCTAGATCCTTGGGTGTTCCTGTCAAGCACAGATTCCAGATACCTTAAAAAAATATCGTCGATATAATTGACAGAAGATTTTAGTGCTTCTGGAAGAAAAAAACCCTCCTCATATATTAACAGCTACATTCTTTAGTTGGTTAAATCTATTCTGATGCCAGTGTATTTGCCAACCTATATTGAAAAAGAACCCAATATTAAATTCCCATCAAACAATTGTGAGAGGTAGCAGCAGCAACAAATGTCTCAATGTTAAGTTTTAATACAGTAAATATTGAGAAATAGAAGCCATACAAAAAAAGAGAGAACTATTTGGGGGTCCTTCAAAAGTGAGGTGTCCCAAGAGCCAAAAAATTAAGAAACACTGCAATTATAAGGGGAAGTCCTTTCCTTTAAAGTCAAACAAATCTAAGGATGAGCCATCCAGGGGAGAGAGAAACTGGAAAGAAAAGGACTGCTGTATCTGTTTGTGAGAAGACACGCACTGCTCCAAATTCCTCCTTCTAATATTTTGAATTTTAGCTCCCAGACATCTTATCAACAATATCCTATCTTTCTTTCATCGTATCTATCTACAATAGCCCACTGTGACAAGGAAAATACGCTTAGCGCATTTTGATGATGAGAAGTGTCAGTGCAACAACTAACACTCCATCTGCAAATGAGAATTGTTAGAATTGTAGTTCTTCACAACTTACATGTCATGTTTCCATAATATGAACGTATCTGTAATACAGTAACACTAGCTACAAATAATAACAAAAGGCCCAGCACTAATATCCTGGACATTCCACAGACTGCTTCCGCTCCATTAACTTTTAATCTTCGCAGATCATCATATCCTTTCTTCTTTGTAGAATTTATAGCTCAATTTCTGTCAGTGCACAAGGTTACAAGGAATGCAGAGATGAGAGTCAACCATCATCTTTTTATTTATTTATTTAAAGATGCATTCTGTGTATTTCAAAAGCCTAGTTTGCTTAAAGAATAGCATTTTACACAGAAAAATCCTTTATTTGGAAGTAAACAAATGAGATTGGAATTAATTACATCCTGGAAATAAACAAATAAATATATAAATATTGTTCGGGTATTTTCCCACGTCATTGTAGTTGTGCTTTTAAAGTTGTAGCAACGTTTCAGCAGAATCTCATCTGCCATCATCATATATACACATATACAGAAGCCTGATGATGGCAGATGAGATTCTGTCGAAACGTTGCTACAACTTTAAAAGCACAACTACAATGGCGTGGGAAAATACCCGAACAAAGCAAAACAAATATTTGGGAACAATATTTTATTTGATGTTATTTGATCTTTTTTGCTGCTGCCTAAATCAACAAGGAAACAATCTCAAACTTAAAAATTCAAAGGAATAATTCAGTAGGTTTTGTTTACTTCAAGCATAGTATGCCAAGTTTTCTGTACCAAGCAACTGCATCATTCAGGTACCAAACTTTGATCATTATACTTCTTAGTAGTAGAGAATTTGTACTTTATTCTTTCTAATGAATTTTAATTCAGGATGGCATTTAGTTTATCTTATTCTTAAGAAGTTGGGGTCAACTTCATTTTCTACCCAAATAGCTTATACACAGAACTCTTGGCTATTGTAACATATGAGAAGAAGGTTTGCCATATTTCAAATATTCCTTTGCTGCACACAGACCCAGCAAAAATTAAAAAGGAAGACAGACTTTCCTAATAGAGGTATGCTTTGTATATAAAGATTCTCTATTTTGAAATCTACTATATATTTAAAATTTCATTTACCTCCTTATGATAGGAATCCAAAACATCTGCAACATTTGCTTTTGTGGGGGATATTAATTCTATCAAATCTTTTTCGAGAGCAGCCATCTGCAAATAAAAGAATAGTTATAAAAAGTATACAAATCTATTGTCATATTCAGAGTTTGAACCTTATCAAATAATCTAAGATTTAAACAAGGGGGCGGGGAGGGGCAAAAATTTTGTTTAATGCAGTCCTTAATATTATCCAATCACATTTTTGTTGGGAAAAATGAGGTAATTTTGCTTGATAATAACAGGGGAGATTTAATATACCTACAAACAATGTTACATGAAAAACCTGGTTTCTCCTTTTTGCTCCGCAAGTCGTATCTCTACAACTACTGTAGAACTTCTGAAACATAATTTCACACAAGTGATTTCAAGACTGATGTTATAAAAAAATAGAACATTGAACTTTGGGAAGGTAAGTTCACCTTTATTCTCTTTCACAACGTTTTATAAAATGAAAGCGGGGGGAAGCAATTGAAGTTTGGGGCATCATCACTTTTAAAAAAAGTTCCATCTGCAGGTGGACATCGAAGAGAGAAAACAGAAATTTCCAAAAAGAGTACAGATTTCTGAGGGGCCAAACCACTTCACTGTAAGATGTTATGAAGTCCGGTGTATTGTATCCTACCCTGGTTTCTATCAATAGAAGGACTTGGGATTGGTTACTGAATGGCAGAAACGTCTTTCTTCCTATAGTCTACAGCCTATTTTCCAAGGGACCCCTCCCCTCAACCTCGAAATGAGACACAAACATAGGGCAGGGAGAGGAGAAAAATCCAGCAAAGTCTGAATGCAAGGTATTGAAAACGATAGATTTGCATGTACTGAGTTCTGATTTGCGTGGTAGCCTGGAAATCTATTTGTGAGTGCCAAATTAAACCAGACACGGTTAAAAGGCAAAGGGAGTACTGATCACCTGATCAAAAACTGCACGAGGTTATCTAAAAATATACCTGTCTCACAAAACTAGGAAAAAGGTTGCAGTATAAACAGTAACTGTCAGGCCGAAGCACAAAGATGATACAGGGAAAACCAACTGAGTCCAATTCTTCATTTGCTTATACCTAATAGACAGAATCTTGTCAGACTAAAGTTATACGCTTCTATCCTACTAGATATATACTAAGAGATTCTAGAGCAGGGGTCTCCAACCTTGGCAACTTTAAGGCTTGTGGACTTCAGCTCCCAGAGTTCCTCAGCTAGCTGGCTGGTTGAGGAACTCTGGGAGTTAATAAGTCCACAAGTCTTAAAGTTGCCAAGGTTGGAGACCCCTGTTCTAGAGTATGGCTGCCCTGAACCTCTTCTCTCTCCCATCCAACTCTGAACTGGGTTCTTTCTAGAACGTACTGCCTCTTCCTTGGGAACTTTGGTGCTACTGAAATACACCCCTCCTCTCCTTTCCAGGTGCACTATTTGGCAGTTTTACCTTCTCTGCTTCTACAAAATGAGTTGCAATTCCTGCTGTGTGGACATCTCTTCCTCTCAGCCTAAATCCTGTAAGAGCAAGAAAATAGCCTAGCTTCCCTGGAAGCCTTGGCAAGAAATAGCCTCCACCCACATCAGGGAAAAGACCTGCAATTAAAGGGGAAAAAAGATATACACGATGAAAAAAGCTGTATAATTAAAACTTAACTGCCGTTTTCCCCCCTGCTAATAACTAGGCCTTGTAAGTGAGCTGCTTTGCTTGAAAATGAATCCTTTGCTGTTTTACTCATCTTGTGGAAAAACATGCTGCACCATTTTTGCCCACACTATTTTCTTAAGATCTCTGCTGAAGTTGATTGCCACAAACAGAAACATTTCCCCCCTTTTAACTTGAAGAACTGTTGTGAATTATTTTGGGGCATTCTTTCTTTAATCTTTGTGTGAATGATCTTTTCAAAGCCATCTTCAGACTTTAAGGTGGTATTATAATGGAAAGTGGTGTGGTTTCTTCCCCAAACCCCCAAAACTTTAACCTTAGACTGTCTACTATTGACCTCACTCCCTTCCTAAGAGGCCTGTAGGGGGTGTGCATAACTGCACCAATCATGCCTACCGCCCCTGTCCTATTGTTTCTTTTTATTTTTCTTGTAAGTATCTATCTCATGTATTCAAAATGATGTTTATTCTTACACCTGTGTCTTGTAAGCAATTGACAAATCAAATCAAATCAATCAATAAATAAAATATACTAGGAGCCACTGGGCCTTTTTCTTTTGTGATTGGAAAGATAGTTCTCAGAAGCCAAATCCATTATACTGTTTTTTTCATACCAGCTATTTTAAAAACCTTGTGCTTAAACGCCTAGTCAGTATATGAGTCTCTCAGGGTCAAATAAAATGGGACATTATGGAATGCATCCAGTTCATATTTCTAACTTATCCAAATCCTGGGTGACTCTGGGAAGTGAATACATACAAAAACAAGTATAAAACCAAACCATTGGTTTATGAATAGAGATGTGATTTTGGCACTTAGATTAGGAGACTCTTGGTTCCCATGCTGCAGTCCCCAAACTGAGCAGTTCCCTTTCACATCCATATCTGGAAGAAAAGTTTTCTTAACCTGTAAATGGTTAAGAGCCTTTGATAATAGTTTAAATCATGGAGATAAAAGGCAATGAAAATTCTTCATTACTGTCTCTATCCAAATCAGACCTAACCATGATGCCACAATTTGCACTTTCAGAACTGCCACTTGTTTAACCTTTTTCTATTCAAAAAAGGCTATCTAGAGGGTATCTTTCTAAAGCAGTTTTTAATACCCTGCAATGGTATTCTTGCTCTACCTACCCTTGGATTTGTTTCATTAGATCTTGGAAGCAAAAAACACAAGCTCAACAGACACCCTGGAATGACAGCTATACAGACGATGCTGTGTGACCAAAACTCTGCATTTGGTTAGTGAAAGCTTTGGCTTTCTCTTGTTTCAGTTCATCGGGTTGCTTTTCTTCTAGATATTCTAATGATGCCCCAATCTTCTCCCCATGAACAAAATGCTTTTATTCATAGAATAAACTCTGAACAAATGATTCCCAGTGGTCTATTGAGTAAGTGCTAAAACAATTTCTAAAAACAAATGTACTGTACATTTCTGAGGATCATAATATTTCGGGGGATGTTGGTGTTCTTAAATTAAACATAGTGATAGTAATTTCTTTTTATTTATTTTTAAAACTCTTTATTTTTAAAACTTTGCCCTAAAATGTACCGTATTTCCCCATGTATAAGCCACCCCTTTTTTCCAAAATTTTCAAGCCCAAAAAGTAGGGGGGTGGCATATACAAAGCAGGTACACTTTTTATACGTAAAAAATGCATAAAATAATAAAGTAGGAATAAACTGGTTTTCCAGCAGTATGCTATACTTTTTTGTAAAAATTGTACGTGATGATACGATTACGAGTGCGAGTACGCGATAGAAATGCATACGCTAGGCATCGGCCTGAATGCTTCGTTCCTACTCTCGTTCCGATGCGTAGATTGCTAGCGTCGCCCGCACCGCTTTCGGCGTCATGACCGAAGTTGTAGATCTAGACGTCGAATTTTGTTTCTTTGTAAATTTTCTTTCTTCATAACTTGTTTCTCTAATAAAATATTTTTTTCAAAACTTCACAGTCCAAAAATTGGGGGGGTGGCTTATACAAAGGGGGTGCTTATACATGGGGAAATACGGTATTTCCCCCATTTTGGGATCTTGCAGACACTATGTAAGGCCCCCATAAATTATATTGTTGCCTCTTAGTTAATCCAGCAGACAATCTCTGATGATGATGTCCTAATTCTATATAAAGAAAAGATTTTTTTCCCCTCAAATTCCATCTCTTGCTCTGCTCATATTTCAAAAATAAACAAAGGACTCGGGAACATTTCTCCCTTGGTATGAAAAAGCAAACTCCATGAGTGGAAATGTTCTAGAATTCAAGAAATAAAGATTATTTTTGTTATTCAGATGTTATCTAATGTTTTCTCTTGTAAATTTTAAGTGGTATACATGGAGGTGAATGATCTTCTCACAGACTTTGTGGGATGTTATTGTCAGAGTGTGTGAGTAGATCAATATTATTAAGTGCCGCAGCAGGGCAGGAACTTGACTCTTCATATTCTAGCTACTATTACACAGTAGTTTCTGCTTCTCTATGCAAAATCAACATAAAATGCAATGTATGGTGCTTACCTATTGCTGTCTCTGGCATTGCAAAAACGGTTCTCTCTGTAGCAACTCTGAAATGCCCATGGACAGACAAGCCCACACCCTACCAAAGAAAAACAAACAGTTATGATCTATAATAAGTTCTGGTGGGAACTTTAGTAACCAGTTTCCTATTGTAGTCCACACTTAGGCCTAGCTACTCCCCCCTCCATTCTCTAATAATAAATTGCCACGTTTTTATTGATGCCACAAGATTTAGGCCATGTGTTTGTCAATCATTTGGAAGCCATTTTAAAATGACTAAAATCTGTGCTTGATTTAATTCATACAAATTTGATACAGGTGCTTAGAAACCATGCAGATGCTGAGTACTATTTTAAGTGGCATTCTCTCGTGCCCTGCTTAACATAATACCAACTGCATATTTACATAGTTCTTGCAAGGATATTACATCTTTATTACTATTCTGTTTGTAAGAGTTACATCCCATGTCTCCTCAGGACACTGTACTTGAGCATTTCTCTGTATTTCATTCATACAGGACCATTCATTCTCATACATTCTCAGGTTACTTTGAGAGAGTGTGATTGGCTCTATGTGATCCAGTAACTTTCTATGACTGACAGTGGGCTTGAACTTGGATCTCCCCATTTCTACACCATTGCTTTAACCATTACACCAAATTGGCTGTCAAACTGCTACTTATTGCAGAAATACAATTTTCATTCATTCAGACATTTAGGCACACTTTTACAACTAAATCTTACAATTAAGCACATTAAAAGGTCTTTTAATCACACCACTGTTTGTGTGTTTTAATTATACCATTGTTTTTATCTCTGGAAACAAACCCAGTTTTTCTCTCTCTAGACCACGGCTGTCAAATTCCCGGCCTGCGGGCTGGATGCATTGTGGGTTGGCCATGCCCACACCCAGTATAACGAAGGGGGGGGAAGTCCCGATACATCATGTGATGCCGCCATGACAATGTGAGTTTGACACCCTGCTCTAGACCCAATGTTTTTCATCAGATATTTCCATGCAAGTTGGGAAAACTGCAGGCACATACTCCTCCTATATTTTTCAATGTGCATGTTCAAAAGTATTCAGCATACTGGAGGCCAGAAGTATTTGACTCATTCAGAACAGGAAAACATTCAGCCCCAAAGGACTGGCTAGACAACCTATTTCTTTCAGGGTCAGGAATTGCACCTGAGATAAGGACTTCCCCTTCTGTAAAGAACAACTCAATCTGTCATTGCCAATAATAATTTCAAGGAACAGTTCCAATATTCAAAATATAAAAGAGCATAATTGAAGATTACACAATTTCTGGCACTCCAAGTATTTCAGAATTACATCTCCCAACATTCCTCACCATTGCCCATATTCCCTAGAGAAGCTGTGAATTGTTGTTCACAATATCTGGAGTGCTAGAGACTAATCACCCTTACTTGACACCAAAATGCATCTTCAACTGATTATCAGCTCTGTTGATTGACCTTCTAAATTACAATAAAATGCTAATTAACTGAAGCCATTTCTTAGCAGGCCAACACGGTTGGGAAACCAAATTATTTCAGGAGATGGTCTATGTATTTCAAACCTGCTAAATTAATCCTTTAATAGGCAATCAAAAGGTTCTTCCATATGCATATTATACTAACAGAAAAAAGGATCTCTCGCTATTCAGTAAGGTCAATTCAGATAAGGATGAGCTAACTTTTTGTAACATTTAAAAACCAGGCACACAAAAAGAACCACAAAATGCAAACACAAACCACATTTTTTTTTATCATACTTAAAGCTATGGCTCATTAGGAAAACTGGGATTCAAGTCTCCATAACATTGGAGCACAAATTTTAAGAGACATGGAAGAACAGCTTTGCCTTGGCAAGCAATTTCTAATTTATAGCTTTATTACTAAATGATTCTTTCCTTTGTAAATTACATAAAGCTGAAAAAAAATAAACATTACAACAAGAAAAGTGAGGTATGGGTAATATATATTTTATGCATTTGCATGCTTGCATCTGATGACTCATGTTTAAATCAATGAATTAGTCAATCCTTATTTTGTTTACATTTTAGTTATAGTTTCAAACTTCTTAGGTTACAATTACTTCTATTAGATGCCTACAAATTTCTCCTTTTTAATATCCAGTATAAAATCCATATCCAGTGTAAAATATATTTTCAATTGATTAGCGAGGCTAGCAATGTCCGAGAAAATCTCAGTTTATCCAACTCACAATTACCAGAAATTAATCACTTATGAAGACCTCTGTAAATGTCAGAGATAAATCAGAGGACAATGATTCAGACTAAAATTGAGCCATGCCAAAAAACGACAAACTTCTGAGTGTACAAAGATGGTGCTGGGGAATTTAATTATTTTTTTCCAGTTTTAAAACTGGAAAAATCAATAACACTGCCTATCACTGTTTTTCCTCTTCTGATAAATTTCTGTAAGGAAACCCTACCAATATTCCCACCATCTTTGGATGACCCTCCTAAACTGATAGGTTGTAGTATAATAGAAAACACATTATATACATATGGAGTGCTCATATTAACCAATAGCAATTAATTTAGTGTTATTCATGGCAGATGTAAATAAAATAAAATCACAGTTCCCTGACATCAGCTACTTTCTTATTCTGAACATTTCACTTTCCCAGAATTAGTAAAAGAATCCATGGCAGCATTACTATACAACACAGCCAACCTAACTAAATAATACTAAGTTCGAAATATCATGGACCTCATCAATTTTTGCCTTACTACTGCTTTCAATTTGATGGAAAAATATACTAACAAATCAGAGGAACATCCATGGGTTCACCATTTTTAGGACTTATAGCAAAGACAATAATGCAAATCTAGAAATTATAGTACATTCTCACGTATACAATCAAAAGATGATCCAGTATGTTCATGACACTTTTGTCATAGTAAAAAAAGGAATAAGTAGAGAAGACACATGAAACAACATCTTCTAAAGAATAAAATTCATAAGGAACAAAAGAAACAATAATATTCTACCCTTCCTAGGTATTCTCATCAGCAGAGCTAATGGTGCCAAATTAGAAACACATGTCTTTCATAAAACCATCCACACAAAGCAAATGCTCCATTACCAAGATGACAACTTAACCTCCTACAAGAGAAGCTGTGTAAAAACACTATTTAGACAAGTACCTACTACAAGTACCTACCCTGAGCATCAGGAAAAGCAGACTGCACAACATCTCCCAGCAGAATGGATACCCACGCAACTTTATTTAAAAAATTGATAAGATCATTCAACTTGTCAATTCCCCCAAGTTCCCAAAAGCTTTGTGTTGGGGAACACAAAAGAAAAAGAGTACCTCTATTCGCTTTACCATCCTGAGAATGATGATAGAAGTGTCTCTGCCCTACCATTATGCACGGTTGAAGTATTCTTTAATAATAAAGTTATCCTATTTTCTTTAAATGGTGAAAAAGGCGACTTCATAAATGTGATCATGTAGCATGCTTGACAACATTACAAAAGTGGTTTGCTAGTATCTCCTCCTAGGAAGCTTTTATCAACTTCTGGTTTAATCTACAGCCCTGGGATTCCTTAGGGTCTACCATCACTATTTAAAACCTTCCTGAGTTTTTTTGAGATCAGCCAAACATGGCTAGCTACTGCCACCTGCTGTTTTACAAACTAATGTCCATAATGCCAGTTGTTTGTCTTTCCACACTGGCTGC